TCTACTTGAGTTAACCAGTCCTCACTAGTATCGCATCGTAATCTCTATTGCCTCACCTGATCGTGTACAAGCTACACGGGATGTTACTTAGATCTGGAATGAAATTGTCTAACCGTGATCGCTGTGCATTTCCTCATGATTCAACAGGTTTAACTCCCTCTACACCTCCGTCTAACGACGCGACTGAACCACCAAGAAGTACATCTACTTCGAGACCACTACTGATTTCTTCTAGTTCTGCTCTAAGTCGTCCCGTACAACTTAAACGTGCTGGCAGCACGGTAGCCGACGATTGGCCTTTCTAAGTACCCCTCGGTGTACTTATCTGTGTGATGACGTATCTAACTGAATTCCGCTGCCGCGAGCTCCAGGCAGGCGAGGAGTAAGCGTCCTGAGAGGGCTTAAGAAACGTTGCGTTAGTGGAAGGGGTCTTCGTGATTTAGCTTGGCAGATCAAACCCGCAAGGAAGCTCGAGGTGGCTATGGGCAACTAGGTTGCAGAGCAACACATTATCACGAGAAACTTCGTGATCACTAACAGATTTCTAAACGTACGAGGGAGTTGGGTCACCAGTGAAAGATAAGCAACCCAGATCCCTTAACAGCAAGGCAGACCCCAAACCGCAAAACCAAAAAGAAAAAAAAGGATTGTAGGTGAAAGCGGGGAAAGGGAAGCCCGAAACCCCACCCGAAACCGGATAGGGCAACCCGAAACCCGAACTATAATCCAGGGCAACCCGAAACCCGAGCTGTTATCCAAGGCAAGACTGTTATCCAAGGCGAAGCTGCAAAACAAGGCCGGAAGGACCCATTAGTGGAGAGGTGGCTTCCTTAGAAAAAGGCAGAAGTTCCTTAGAAAATGGCAAAATTTTCCTTAGAAAGTGTCTGAGGGCGAGCGAGATTTTGTCCTTAGATCGTACCCTGTAGCCTTACGATTTACCTTTTAATTGCCTGCGATAGCTTGTACATTATTGGCCTCTAATACGTCGAGCGAGAAACCCCCCCGACATGACTTGTAGATATATTCTTCGTCTTCAACGGCCGGGCGATTAGGTTTCTGCAGGATGACTTGTCGTTCGTAGATCCTCATAAAATTGCATTTTCATTCTCACTACGTCGCCCTTGAAAAGTCATGGAAACATATCGGCTTCTTTTATGCGTTTCCAATCTCGATCGATTACTACTCTTGAATGAGTCTCGAATTATCCCAGTGTCTGCTTGGAACACCAACCCTGTCGTCGAGGGAACCCATCTACAGTCACCTCTTACAATCCTATTATAACCCAGAGGCTCTTCAATTCAATGCATACCCTTACTCTCATAGCCCTCATTTTCGATCGCCACTTAGCGCCTTTCTGAACACTAGTAACTTCTATTGTGACGGGCTGGCGAAATAGCAAATCTAAGATACTTTTTCGACAAAGCATGATGATAAAAACTTCAATTTCACCATAACGCCATAGGAACTCCAATTTCGTTGTTTTAACGAAATCAATTTTCTCCGTTCCTATTCAAACAAGCATTTTCATAGTAGCACTCGACAGTGTATAAAAATCACATGTACCCTTTGTGTTGGTGACGACACGGAGCATCAGCTTGTGTCGTCACAGTGTCCCTTTCGTCTTAATTCTTCAGCTTTATTTCCCAGTATTGTTGTAGTAGTTGTTGATAAAGACTTTTATTTCATAATGGTAGATAAAGAAATCGTTTTGAAGTTTCACTTCAATTCGGACATCGTTCGTGTTCGTGCAAGCACGACTGACGTTGATTCGATTGCCAAGGTGAGGGAGTACATTGCTGACGCCTGGCCGGAGTTGCGAGGGAAGGACTTCGACATCGTCGTTGGTGATGGTCT